AAATCTCACATCTTCCCAGTGGTGACCGGGCCTAATGACAGATGATAGGTAATCAGACATTTCAATCAATGATTACAATCGATGAACACAAAAGAAGTACTTACTTGTTGGTATAACAGGGGCTGCCATCCCTGCCATGACCAGGGCTAAGCCCTTCAATTGGAGCACGCATTTCTCGTTTTTTGGCACTAAGAAATATAAAGTTAATTAGAAAAGAAGAAAATCAAAAAGAAAAGAAGAAAATTGGTACATACACCTCTTGTAAAGCCTTGGCTTCATCATTCCGTTGAACTTGACGTCTCGAAAGTCCTTTTGGCATGTTGGTGAAGAAGGTAAGGTAAGGTAGATTGAGGTTGAGGTTGAGGTTGAGGTCGGTGAAGGTGAAGGTGAAGGTGGTAAACAAGGCGATTGACCAGTAGTCAATCAACCCACATCTCATATCTCAATTGTAGACTATGCTTGTATTCAATCACAGCTGTATCAACAAAAACTCATGATGTTTGAAAACTCAATTCATTCGTTGAAAGGCAAATGGTCCAACTGGTCATGTTTCTCAAAATAGAACAAGTTTTCATTTATCAAACTACACAAAAGCATTGACATTGATCTTGATTTGTAGATTACAAAGATTATAAAAAGATCAAAAACTTGCTGAGATACAATTCGTGTTTAAGAAAATAGTATAATAAAAACAAAAACATTGAAAACTTGCTGAGATACAATTTGTGTTTTCTAGATTCTGATGATAGGGATAAAAAAGGAAAAAGTTGAATGAGTCGATGGATCAAAAAAATGAAAAAGAGGATTGAGATAATATCTTACATGATGAGTCTTTAATCTCTGGCTTCGTCTAATTTTTGCTTCAACCATACCCAGCGCTCCTCTTCATCAAGGTTGATGAAGAAGGAAGCCGAGTCTTTGTCTCTTAACAGATCAGCAGCTTTCATTCGAATGCCTATGTCGGGAAACTCGTCACGTTTCTTTAAAGAGAAAAGCTCTATGGCTGGCTTGCAATTCGGGAACTTTTCGTTGGCCAATGCTGCAGCCTGCAGACGAGATTGGACACAATCTTCGACAGCTTCACGATGGGCGTCCAACCGAGCTTGGTTTTGTTCGTTTTTCTCGTCTGCATACTTCTTTTCAGCTTCAAGTCTTTTTTCTTGATTGGAACTCATGATAATGATGGCTGAAGCCAAGTTGCTAGACGGTTTAGAATTGATTTTGACAACCTTCTTCTCTGAAGTATCCGCAGCTTTGAGTTTTGGTCCGCCGGAAGTGAAAGGGTTCTTGCGTTTGCTCAAATCGTCGACTTGAGTGAAGGTGGATGGTTGGGTCGGTTGTACATCATCTTGAGTGAGGGTGGATGGTTGGGTCGGTTGTACATCATCTTGAGTGAAGGTGGATGGTTGGGTCGGTTGGATGTTGAAATCATCAAGTATTTCACCAATTTGAAATCCAGAAGAGATATTTGCTTCGGTGAGACTATCAGTGTGATCCTCAAGTAAAGCAGGAGCAACTACAACAAGATGAGAATCAGTTTGATTTTCGAAAATAGTCATGAATGATGAAAGTTTACGTACTTTCTTTGTTGTTGTTGTTGTTGTTGCGAGTTTCAAGAACAACAAGGTCTTCTGAACATGGGGTTGATAAGTGCCGTTGCTCAGTTGTATTAGTCCCCGTACAACGAGATCCAGTGGCTGGCATATGCCCAATGAGTTCGTCGAGAGCATCATAGAGTGGAAACGTTTTGTTTTCGTAAGCACAGGCATTCCTATGACCCTAAAAACAACAGATTGTCAACATCAGTACAATCAAATAAACATGATCAGAAATCACCGTACTGTATGCCACTCTTTCCAGAAGGCTGCGTCCGCTACAATCTTTTGATCCTTTTTGTTCCAACCAGCACCCGAAGCTTTCCTAATATCACGAACAGCCTTATATTGGCTGGTGATCTAGATTGGTGAGCAAGTCCAAAGGTCAGCGAAAGATGAACTACAGTTTTAGAAAGTGTAGAATCAGAAACTTATCACGGTCCAATGGTTCTTCAATTGAGACAGGGTGAAACCAGGTGGAAATTGTAGTTTCAAACGATCAATGGCTGCATTCCAAGCTAATGGTTTGAAACCGTTGTCAGCTTGGTGACCGAGATGGACCTGCTCTTGAAGGGAGTCAATCAGAGCCAGACTACGGGTGGTAGTCCATTGAGCAGTTGATTTGGGTTCGTCGGTGGCCTTGTCGGTGGCCTTGTTTCGACCCATAGTACAGTAAAGATGATGGATGTAGTGAGTAGTGTGTGTTTGAGATGATGAGTTGAACAGGGTGGGTGTGTTGTTCAAAGATGATGTTGATGTGATTTGAAGTTAGGAGGGAGGGTACACAAGATCTGACTTGTACAATATGAGCAAAAAGAAATGAAATCGGACTTGTAGAAAAAAAAATCGAGTTCTTTTTAATAACGACGTTGATGTGAGTTGAAGTGTGGACAGGGGGGTATAGAAACGGGGACTTGTCCGATTTGAGAAAAAAGAAACGAAGTTGAGATTTTGAGGGTCAATAAGCTACTTATTGAGAAATAAGGAGCTCTTTCGCTCTTTATTTTAAGGAGCAGAATAAGCTACTTATGGGACCCATAAGTAGCTTTGGAAAGTTCGAGGATTTCCTTGCCAAACGGGGTTTTTGAAAGTCGACTTATGGAAGTCGAATTTCGACATAAGTAGCTCAATTTAAGCTCTACCAAACGGGCCCTTAAACTCAGAGAATGGATACATACTATACTAACCAATTGTGAAAGGAATGTTGATGGAATTCGGTACTAAGCCAATTGTGGAAGGAATGTTGGTGGAATCTGGTGAGATCAAACATCAGGTTGGATCTGGGTTGATCTAACCCTTCAGGCTACATGTATTAGCCGCATACTGGGCCCCAGGGTTCCCCTTGGGGTCCAATCATAGGGGCAGTGGCGGGGTGTACCACAATAGAAACCAGGCCCCGCCGCAGTTTTCACCCCAGTTGGTGAAAACTGGACTGAGACCGTGGCGGGACCCCCGCGCCACCCCCGCACTGGCGCAGTCTGCGGCGGCGGGGTCTGGGTGTTGCCCAAGGCCTGAGTAGTTTCTGACCAAATACACCCCAAAATCATTTTTCTTTGGAACATCTTCAAAACTCATGGTAAGAATATGAAAAAAAATGTATAATGATAGGACATCACAGGCAGATTCAACCATAATTTTTTCAAATTTTTCTAACCTCTCATGCATTGCTGAGAATTTGCTACATCTTGACGTTTTTAAACTCCATGGTATATTATTGATTTGGTGTAGTGTCCCAACAGTTGAACGGTTTCAAATTCCAGTGTCTGGAATCCTTGGTTGTCATCAAGCAGCTTGTCCAATATTTCATTATGATGAAGAGAGGGTTGGGGAGCAATTGCTCACTTACCCTAAGGCTGCGACGGTAGGTGAGAGTCCATTACATAACGTAAGGGGGCAGGCTAATTGAGCGGGACAACCCATTGATCTCGGACCCGGGGCCAAAGGGAGAGAAGAATTATTCTGAAACGGAAGAAGAGAAAAAGTTTCCATTCCTTCTTCCTATCAGCTTCTTCTCTTTTGCATGTCCTTCATCTGCTCCTTTAGCCTCCTCTAGTCCTTTTTCTCTCTCTTCAGATTTGTAGAAAATTTTTCGAACAATCTCTCTTTCTTCTCCATCATATTCCCCAAAAATTTTTAATTCAGGGCATATTCTCTCACGGTTTTTCTAATTTCATCAATGGAGTCATCTCAGAAAGATAAACTTATCTCGTCCAAGAATAGATTGCATCAAATGTTTCAATACGTGTACTGACTCCCAACAAAGTGCAGAGAAAGTTAACCAAAACAAAAACAATAGCACAAAGTTGAACAAAGGCAAGCACATGAGCTACGCAGGAAATTGTGGGGTTTGATTGACCAACAAAGCTGTAAAAGGGATGCAACACTTGCGTGATTGGAAAGTTGATGTTGTAAAGCTCTTGAAGAGGCAGTATCAGCCCGGCCCAAGTATGCATACCTTTCTGAAAAGCTCTCTGACAACCAAAAGCTCTTGATGAGGCAATATCAGCTTGGGCCAATTCAGAAGTTTTCCCAAGAAGCTTTTGTAAAAATCTCTCAATGAGGTTCAAAATAGCAATAGGTGACTTCCAAAAACACACCCAAAAACAATCAAAAAATAAGACAACCTGAAAACCAAACAAGGAATTGACCAACAGAGGGCCCGGCTCATCCAAGTGGTCCATCCTTTTAGTTTTTCAATGATAAACAGTTTTGTTATGTATTGCACAATACATCAAGGTCACGCTGTTAACTTGATGATCTCATCAAAAGTTGTGTCAAGGTAGTTGTGGCAGTCTGTGTCAGACTCATAGTGGGCAAGAGACATCACCACCTTGGACAGCAAATGTTTGTTGTGTTGCACTCATTGACTTTGACCACTAGATTCTTGCATCCAGCTCATGTTACAATCCTCTATCACCGATCACACAAGGAAATGTCGCAAGTTGTGACACAGTTGGGTAACCAGAGATGCATCCACTAGTTGTACTCCTCTTCCTCATGCTTCAATAACTATTATAACTGGATACCTCACTCTTGCTTGGCCCTCATGCCCCAGCACCCAGAGCCGTGGCCTAACAGCTCAACACATCCATTTCATCTTGTCAGATTCTGACTATTTATCCACTTCTTTATTCTTTTATTCTATGAAAAAATAAGGCACCTAGAGGAATTAATTCAATTTCCACACTGTGTGTAAATCATTTCCAGCAAAAATAATAAGGATCACAATCCTATTGTTCCTGGAGGGAAAGTAGACAAGAAACATTGAAGAGGAAAAAGGAACACTGGCTTTCAACATACAAAAAACACAAGTGATATACCATACACAAATTCTTTGCAATATATTCAGAATTTCACTAAAAGGACCTTTGCCATCAAAAACATGGAATGAGTCAAAAAATTCTACTAGATGGTGAACTTGAAATTAGGATGTCTATCACCAATAGGTGCATTTGTTTTGCCGTCTTTTACTAATTGATCATACTTCATTAAATTTGAATCTCTTTTATGATTAGATCTAGCTTTATTCTCCTTCCTGCAATACATTGAATTCAAAAAGAACATTGTCCAAGCAAATACCAAGAAAGCCAAGGCAATAGAATGTCCTTTTTTATATCTTGGGGCTTGTTCACGTGTATAGATGAATGTGGCTACAAATCCTCCACAGTTGGATATCTGATTGAGGATTGATGAAAATTTTGTGTGGAAAGTTAAGTTTGAAAGGAAATATTTGAGAAAGGTTAGAATTCACGTTATGCGTTGTCAGGAGCTAGGGGAGAAAGTAAGCTGGAGGGTGAAATCTATCTGACCATCAAGTGTAATGCCGTGACTGTACCCCTTTTAGTCAGCCCTGCTACGTTATTGGGAAGGATACACAGAATGGAAGGTGTGGCAGGATATATACCCGCAGCTATTAAAAAGACCCCCGCATATCGCGCATCATTGGAATCTGCGGTAATACAGAGGATATCTACAGGATCGTTATCAAATAAACAGACACAAAAATAAAACATGATCTTCATAATTTAGCAAAGACAAACAAGGTTGGAGGGAGTAAAAACTACTTACAACCTACCATGGCAATCGGGGTCAGCAATAAGATGATAGGACCCCTCAATTGTAACCGATCACCAATGAAGGCCATAATCAATACCAGCACAGATGCGGGTAGGTACGGGAAAGAAGAATGGAGTTGCGCATCTAGGCCTGAATGACCCATTCCCAGTACAACTGTTGTACAATTGATCACGGGGTTTGGTAAAGGTTCACGTAGAAAAATAACGACAGGACAAATGAATACAGATGAGCATGGAGGAGATAAATATAAACTCTATGCAAAGACTGACTGGTAGGTCTGGTCATGTCAGGGGATTGAAAGATCGATCAACAGACAAAATCCCACGCGCGTGTATGTGGGTTAAAAAGGTGAAAAGCCCCATTTGTCAGAGGAAGCGCAAGAAAGTTTGAATCTTTCATTCATTATAAGGGATCACTTCATTGGAACACGACTCACAAGAACAAGGCAAAGGAGTATATGCATACCGATAAGCCCATGTAGCCAAATCCCGTCATCCACACTTGAGGCTCCTTAAACCCTCGAATCACTTCACGCATTTCAAACTCCTCGTGAATCAAGTGATGATTGGTGATCTCGTTTAGCTTATCCTCCCCCGATTTGACCTTCTCCTCGGAGGCTGTCAAGAGCCCTGGGCTGTCTAATTGACCATCCGAGTCAGGTTGATGTGCAATGTTCTTCTCATCAGAGCTATCTGTTGACGTTTTCCAATGGTAAGCCAATCTTTGAACTGAAATTCCAGGAAAATTCAAAATCAGCTCAAGAATGCTTCGAAAGACAGTGTATACAGATCACAGCGTACCTGCGAAGTGACGTTCTTCCGGAGTAAGGAAGGAAGCAGTGGCTAGATTCTTGGGCATATAACACACCCCAAAGATGGCGACCAAAACGGTGCCAATGCCTTCCCAAACGAACATCCACCTATTTTTGTGCGGTAAAGTGAATGATGGCGTGACAAAACCCGTGGTCAGCTCACAAGTTTGGTGATCATGAAGCTCGTAAGTCTACGTAAGATGGCATTATCTTCTAGACTTGACTAAGACTATTGAAGAACGCAAGAACTCACTGCCATCCTGTCAAGATGAACAGAAATGCAAAAATAAACAAAGAGTTTCATGAATTGTCCTTCATATGGCACGACTGCAGAGCGTCTTGCAAAAAATCTAAGAGGAACGACACCTTTCAGCCCGCCAACGCCTTCCATATGTTCGATTCCATATGCCAAAAGACCTCCAAAGGCCCCACTAAGCGGGGCAAATACATAGAAGACTCCTACTCGGAGCTGAAGTTCGTTGCGTTGATACATAGTTGAGAGATACATCATCTGCGGAATCAAGAAAATATGTGAGAAGGATGGCGGATCTCGGAAGGATTATCCAAAGTCGAAGGAGTTTAATTTCATACCATTCCCTGTTTGTTGTGCAGACGTGAGAGCATAAGTCAGTAAATGAAAGCAGAGAAATCTACACATCTTATAGAAATCGATATCTGTTCAACTAGCTCATTATGAATATATGGGTGGCTTACGGGTAAGAGACCACCTTCGAACAAGCCTTTATCATCAATAGCACAACAAAAAATCACAATCAAAATTGGAATTGAGTGTGTGCACCTTTCATGATCAGGTGATTGAGAGAGCGCTTTACCCAAGAAAAACCGACAAGCAAGGAGTGATGAATAATTTTTCATGAATCCCATTAGGATAGTGACAGCGCCTAGAGATTACCCAAACAGAAACCTCAGCGGTGATCAAATCTGTTGTAAGACCACCTCTCATAACTTCTGTGATCAAGAAATTACGCACCCCAACTCGCAACTAAAAATGGAAGCCATAGCTATCGAATATATATATATATATAGACTCGCGGCTCAGTTACCAATTTGTAATAAGATATGTTGTAAGCTGACCTTTGCGCCCACTTGCTTGAGTAGATAGTTAGAAGGCAGTTCGGCAAATATATATGACGCGTAGCTTTCGATTCATCGAATAAAAACACCATCAAATTAAGAAACAAGAAGTGTCAGAGGAGTACTGAAGTCTATGATCTCAAAAATGTATGTTCAGGAGGTTCTGTGACTAAATTACTAACAAGATAGCTAGTCCGATGTTATATTGTAAGCCTACCAGGCCTAAGGTGTCATCCATTCCACCGACCTGTGAGATCTTTTGTGAGTGAAGTGTACTCAAAGTTACCGCTGGACAGACTGACCTTGGCATTGCCAACATTTGTTCGATCAACTATTGCGATCGTGGAATAATTGCCAATACATATTATGCAGTTTGAGAAAGTCAAATGATCAGCTTGGGATCCAAAATTGCTTTGTGGGCATCACAGAGATAGCCCAAACCCTCGGGACTTACGAAAGCAAGCCAGCCATAATAGTGAAAGAACTATGAGATAATAATAGTTGAGTATTATTTGTTTTGCAGATGACACAGGTAAGGGGAGATGATAACTGATGTACCTGGAAGGGCATGTAAGTCGATTTTCTTGACTATAGACCTACGAGTAGACTCATGTAACGGATGTTCCTGCAAAGAACGAGAAGAGAAAAGTTCAGTCAGCTGCAATTTGAGATGGTAAGGATCAAACATCAATGATATGGCCAACCGGGTCGAAGAGCGAGAGGGTTTTCATTTTTGACAAAAATTTCTTGTGTCCGTTGATCGACCGGCTTGAAGCTCAACGAGAAGTTTCAAGATCCTGAGGATGGGATGAAGAAAATGCTCAAGCTTCCATGTCTCTTTCCCTCTATAGAAAATGGAAAGTTGTCGAAGGTATTTGTGTTCAGTCTCTCAATGATTCTGCATGGGAACTGAAGTTCTTCACACAGCTTCACACCAACCATAGCCAGGACTGAAAGTTTGGCATCTTTCACACCAAACTTAGCCGGGACTACGTATAACTAAGCGTATAACGTACTTATCAAAGTCCCACACTGGGGCACGTCGCAGAGAAATCTTGAAATACCTAACTTAACAAAGTCCCTCGATGCCTCGACAGCTGTCATTCAACGAGTTGAATCCGCATGTCTCGGCATGAGGGACTTACCCCCAAGGTCATGTTTTTGGCCTGAAGGCTTAGGCTCTTTTTGGTGGGGACAATCTTCTTTTCCTCCTTTTGGCGAGCACACCGAGGATTTTCTGCCAACCGCTCAGCCACGTATGCGCTCGCTCTGCCTACACATCTTACAACTGAAAGCATCCCTGAACGTTGGTTCCTCGCTGAGCTACATCAAATTGCATTTGTGTAATTTTGACATGTAGCTCGACTAAGGTCGAGGACTTCTTTGGTTCTATAGTGAGCAGTCCCCCGACATAGTCGAGCTACATGTGGAAATTACGAAAATTCAAATGTATGTAGCTCAGCGAAGAACGAGGGGAATTTGATGAGTCCACCGGTACAATATGGAGCAAGACTCGGCGCACATCTGTGTGCACGGTTGGCAGAAAATCTTCGGTGTGCTCACGGAAAAGAGGAAAACAAGATGCCCTCCACCAAGAAGGGCCTAAGCCTTCAGGCCAAAAAGCAGACATTAGGGGTAAGTCCCTCATGCTGAGACATGCGGATTCAACTAGTTTGAATGACAGCTGTCGAGGCATCAAGGGACTTTGTTAAGTTAGTTGAAATACTTACTTTACACAGACGTCGCAAAACAGCTTGAACCTGCTTGAACCTTTCCTAATATAGGATCATTTGTCTTGTCCAAAATGAGAGGGAAGGTCAGACGATACTTTTGATTTTGGTGATATTTGGCTTTTTGCACGCCGTCCAAATTTGCACTCTCCTGGTCAAGATTTGGACGGTGTGTGACCCATACAGGCTGTTTCCACGGTCCGGTGGCTCCAATTTTTTCCACACAACCTAGGGCTATGACCCTGGCCCGGCGCGACGTGGCCGCCCCCGGGGGACCGCCCGGCTGCAACTTCAAGCAGACTATTGTGGGCCTGTATTGAAAGGATAGGACCAAAAATGTCAGGGCCAGCACCCTGAGAACAAACTTAACTAAGTCCCATTGTGCCAGGGTTTATACATGGCAAGGAATGACCGAGGCACAAGGGACTTATTCCTTACCCCAAACATTTGGCGTGGTAGGTTGAGAATTCTAGTAGGGGCAATTTGGGATCTCCTTTTACCCCAAATTCCCATAATTGACTGTGCAGAAAAAAATGGATACTCTGAAGCGCCTGCTTCTTCCACATCTTTCACCCTATTCAAAAAAATTCTCACTTGTGTTGTTCTTTTTTTCCTCAACACTGAAAAGAAGGTCATCCCAAAATTTGGAAATATGAATGCTACAGGTGTCCAAAGGCACGACGAGTCCTGTAAAATTCCATAAAAAGTCTTGGGGATAACGACCCGAAGATCGGTCCCTCGGGCTGGTGCTCGGGGCAAGAAATCTTAATATACTTGCCCCAATGTAAGTGATGAGAGAAAACGGAAAGTTTCTCATTGCACCACATCAATCCCCAAACTTTTCCTCACCACAATAAGGAAATCACCAGTTTTCCTTATTCAAGCTAATTTTTCTTCTCAATATCAAGTAGACTAGATAGTAACCAAAACCTTTACAAGAAGACAACATCACAAACTTATATAATAGTCAACAAACTAATTCAAAAAGAAAAAAAAAATTCTTCAAATCCCAATTCAAAACTAGTATCCTTTTTCTCAAAACGTTACCACGCAAAACATTCCTACTAAGTCCTTTTAAATCTAATTCCACTTAATATGACTACCGAAGAATTTAACACAAAAGCCGCAGGTGTGAATATTGAGAAGAAACAACAACAAGGAAAGACAAAAGGCAAGCAAATCAGTACTAGAAGTCAAACCGCGACCTCGTCAACCTCCGGACTAGGAGGTATACCACCTACGAGTTCAGGAATTGCAGCCTTACCCTCGTTCGATGCCAACGGTAATCCTATAGACCCAGGTCAAATAGGTGGAAACAAACCTAGAGGCGATGGAGACAATCATGATGATGACAATCCTCAACAAGAAGGTGGAATGGGTAATCAACACCAAATAAGTACCGACCTGAGCCAAGGAGATCAATCACATGATGACCAAACTGGAGACACATTGATCGCTCTAGCTTAGTGACATATGTTCCTTCTAAGAATTCCGTTATTTCCCTCCTCTTTTTAATTTTTCCAAAAGAAAAAAAAAAAAATATTATGTTCTTTCCTGGTTAAATTCCGATGTGATCCCTCCCAGTTGAATTCCGATGAATCCTTCCCGGTTAAATTCCGAAGTAACTCCAAGTAGTTAAGACCCATAGAGATGTCCATCCCGGTTGAACTCCGATGCCGGTCTAGATACCGAAGTGGAAACGTCGTTACATTTGATCTACCTGAGTTATGATAAGATACGAACCAAGTGCCAGTGTTCATGACAACAATTAGATATATCCAAAAAAAAAAAAAATAGAGGAAACCTTGCAATCCCATTTCATCTAGTGAAAAGACGAGAAATGATCATATATTGACTTAATATCTCGCACATAAACAATTTTCTGATTGATTAGGAGCTGAATCAAACGTGACAACACCAGCGGATCCCAAAATGGTGCCGGCTCATACAAAATGGATCAGATCAATCCAAGAAGCGTATTGCACGAATAAATTCGCACGAGTAGGGAGTCTTAGTAAGACTTACACGATGTGGTGTAAAACTCGAAACGTTGTGGTGATCAATTTATGGGATCAATTAAAAAATTCACAATTACCAGTTTACCAGTTTATTAGCAGGATTCAGCAGGAAAGAAAATTCGAAATGGAGGTTTTTGATCAATTGAAGCTCTTGTAGGCTTATGTATTGGTCATTAGGTCAACATTACATCATTTTATTTCACATTATATATTAAGATCATTATAGTTTACTTACAAATTTATTACAAAAAGAAAGAAAGAAAAACATAAGAAAAATTCGAAATTATAGGTATAAAGGTTGGAAAATGGTTTTTAGGTTAGTAAAAATAAAGTTATGGGTATTATGAGGTTAGAATATGAAAGAACAACATTATATGATACTATGACAATTTTAATCTTCAAGGTTGATAAGTAGAAACAGAAGTTATTAGGAAAAAAGCACTTTTTCGAAGTTGGTAAACAAGAGGTACACGTGTAGTTTGGTTGTGTAATAGTGGTAGTGATGGAATTTAAGGTTGCCAAGAGGATTTTCCGGGATTTTTAAGGCTATAGATGATGATGTAATATTACATGAGCAAGAAAGGCTTAGTAGCACTGTAAACATCATTCAACTTCCCCAATTTGGCAGAGGAAAATGATTAATAGTACAGTTTTTCATAAAAGAATCTAATACTGCACACCTGGGCCATTTCACCCACACTACATATGTGCAGCAAGCTAAGTCAATAGCTGTCTATCATGTACATACAGGTCTGCTCAGTTTTTTGCCCATCAGAATAAATAAATCACATGTTATACCACATGTAACTTTTTCGACTTTGAAATTTTTTTCCCAAAAATTCACTACATATAATTCTGTAGCTGCTCAGGCAATATTGTTGAAGCTATGTCTTAGTAACAGAAAGTGTGTTACATGCAGTTGAGTTGATGAGATCACACCAAAACATTGAGTCAGTGTATGTAGTCAATCTTTTGGAAGCTTTTTTCAATCTGAAAGAAGTTACAGCATGTATTACATATGAATAACTTGTCCTGATGAGCAGATAACTGAGCAGAACTGTATGTACATGATAACCACATATTCACTGAGCCTGCTACACATATGTAGTGTGGGTGTTATGGCTCAGGTGTGGAGTGATAGACCATTTTATGACAAATCATACTCCCAATCATTTTTCCCTGCCCACTTGGGGAACCCGAATAATGTCTGCAGTGTAGTAGCTGTGAAAAGTGAAGAAAATGGGTGAAATTCGTGGAAAATGGAGGTTTTCAGCTAATTACATATGTCAAATGACGTCAGAATAGGTTGGTAGATGGCTCATTCAACGCAGAAGAGTGGATTACATAATGTACAATCTTTAAATCATTAGTAACGGAGGTGTGTGTAAAAAGTTATAAGGCAAATAAAGAATTGGTGTGAATCTCGAATTTACAGTCACAAGTCATATGTAACACTAAAAACCTTAACTTCACAACTCAATATCTTACTCATCACTCATCAGAAGTAGGTCATGTAGGTGTCAGAAATGATCAGTAACACGTGGACTACAAGATGCACTTTAGTAATCAAAAATTGGAGCACATCTGAAAAAATTTGTAATCTCAAAAATTGGTTTTCAGCTAGTTTACAAGGAAAAAATCACCTGTATCCATCATAAGAAGTGCTGTACATCATATTATTGCGTCATTGATCACTTTTAGCTGTGAAAATTACATCATTTATTAGTAACAAAACCATTACATTGCGTCATCATAGGGTTTTTAGGGAATTTTGGGCGGATTTGATTGGTTTTGAGGCTGTTGACCATTGTAAAAGTTCTAGTACATTGTTATATATACTTTGAGAGGGTTTTGGGACTGTTGTTCCCCTTTTTTTTCTTTATCATTTACGCCATTATTATTTTGTTTATCATCATAAACTTATTTTAATAGTACCTGTTCACTTAAATACGCCCTTTATTACAGTTATAAAGAGAAATTTACTTTAGTTTTATAGTCATAAAGACTTATTGGGAATAATATCAATCAGATATTGCTTATTTTTTTTTTCAGTTATCAATTGGGAATAACACTATAGCAGTGTTGATAGTAATACAAAGTGTGCTTTTGAAGTTAAAATTACGTGTGAAGTTATATTTCTCTGGTGCCTTATCAGTACTCAATACAACAGAGCTCTTTCTGATTGTGTTGTTTTAGAAGAGCAGTCCTTAGACAACTTCTACTAGTCATTTTATTAGTAGATTATCCTCTTCCAGCTCTGTATAACCCTTGTTGGGTTATAAGTTCTACATATTGGTGACTCTGCCCGGGCTTGACAAATTAAAATCAACTTATAATTAAATCAATTTCTCTTTTAATCATTATCAACAAGCAAATTATATTATATTACATCAAGATTCAATAAAAATTATTCACGTGGTTATTAACAGAAGATCTTTAAAATTAAAATTATTCAAATCAATCATAAACATTATCTTTCATTCTCATTTAAAAATATATCAAAATTAGTTCTTATTTAAAGAATTTATTATATAAAGAAGCTATGTCTTCAGTTATTCAAATGCATAATCAAGATGTGGCGGATGATGGAGATGAGGAATTAGAATTACCACCAACATCTCATTATAAAAGAACTCCACGAATTTCAGGAAGTAGAGTTTATATTCCAGATGTTTCTACTTCTATTAACATATTACCACCACCACCACCTCCAGGACCTTCCTCTGGATCAACTATTCATGGAAAACAACGTGAAGAACCACCTGCTTCTGAGGATCCAATTCCACCTTCAGCCTTTACTGGATTCAGGGAACAGGAACCATTATTACCCTCTGATCATGAGGAAGACGTGGATTGGCAACAACAATTCTATAATCAACAACAATATTATTTACAAAGAGAAAAAGAAGTGGCAGACATTATTACTAATAATAGAATTAAGGAAGAAAGAGAGAAGAAGGAGAAGGAAAAAGAAGTGGTAAAAGTCGTGAAAAAGAGTAAAGGCAAGAAGGTTATTAAGAAAATTATTAAAGAAGATGATGGAGGAGATTATTCAAGTTCTTCAAGTTCTTCAGACAATGATTCAACTAGTAATGGAGATGTTAGTAGTGAAGAAAGGAATGAGGAGGCTAGAAGTCATATTAAACCACGTAGAATTGATAATACTGATTCAAGTATTAGATTTGAAGTTGGAAGGAATGTTAAGAAGTTTATCATTAATTATCATAGTCAAGCTGAAGCAAATGGCGCCTCAGAACTTGATATGGTTAGACAAGTTACTAGTTTTGTTGTTGGAGAAGAATTGAAGGAGGAAATACGTGAAATGGATGGTTGGGGTACTGGTGAATGGAGTTGGAAGAAAGTTAAGGAACAATTAATTGAAAGGTATCAAACTACCACGGAGCAACCAAGATATTCAATTGATCATTTAAGAACTTTGTCAGAAAGAACTGCTAGGACTGGTGGTGTTACAAATAAAGCTGAATATCAAACATTTAGAATTAATTTCGACAAAATTCATCAATATTTAACAAGACATGATTATATTGATTCAAATGATGAAGAAGTTGCACGCCATTTCTATGATGCTTTCTCTGATGAACTTCAAAAGAAATTCAAGAAAAGAATGATTAGAAAGAAGTTAATGAAGAAGGTGGATAGTGGAAGATATAGGTTACCTAATTTAAATAAATTAAAGAAGGTTGTGGATCATTATATTGAAGAAGAAGCTTTATTAATCTTTGAGGATATTGGAGAAGAGAAGTTTGCAATTAAGAATGAAATTGCTGGAGTTAGAAGTGAAGTAATTCAAAAGGATACTAGTAATAAAGTTGCTAAAATAGGAGGAATGCAAGCAAAAGCCACGCAGCAAATGGAGGTTTTATGTAGTGACTTGGGAAATTTACATATAAATCACGTGCAGGCTCCATTATTATTACCACCTGTAAATGCATTGCATCCTTATCTTCCTGTTTCAAATTCTTTACAAACTCAAATCCATCAACAAGCTGAACCTTTTAGAGCTCAACATCAACAAAATCCGTCAAATTATCAAAGAGTTAATCAACCTTATAATAATAATAACAATTTTAATAATCAGCCGCGTAATTTTCCAGCTCAGAATTATAAAGGACAACAGCCCAATTACAGCAGGCCTTATAATAATAATAATGTTAATAGACCTTATAATCCTCAAAATCCAAATACAAATAATCAAAATACTTATCAACCTCCACCACCTCCAAATGGAAATCAAGGAAGTACTGTCTTTTGTGTGTATTGTAATACTGAAGGACATACTGTAGGAAGATGTAGATGGGTAATTCAAGATAAGCAAGCTGGATTATTGCAAGATAGGATGGATGGTTTCTTCTTACCTTCAGGAAATGTAAGGATGTTTAAGCAAGGAGAAGATGGAATCAGGCAGCAAGTTATTAGATATTCTGAACA